GAAGCCAGTAGGAAGGTTCAAGACAGCCTCTTGCCATAATCCCTGCCCCTGGCACAGCACTATGATTAGGGAGAAACCTCCAGCTCCCAGCTTCTCCCTGGGTAAGTAAGATAAGAACTATACTACATGTTCAATTTTCTGATTTCTCTGGGGGCTGCTCGAGGCACTAACCGTTGGTTTTCTGAAAAGACAACCCAACTGATAAAACTTTAGCTAGACTTACTAAAAGAAGAAAAAGGGAGCACGAAGACAAATAAAATGTAAGTGAAAGAGGAGACTTTAAAACTGATGCCACAGAAATACAGAAAGATCATGAGACTACTGTGAACAATTACACACCAATAAACTGCATAACTTAGAAGGAATGGATAAGTTTCAACAAACATACAACCTACCAAGAATGAGTCATGAAGAAATAAAAAGTCTGTACAGACCTATTACAAATAAAGAAATTGAATCAGTAAATCAAAACTGTTTTAACAACGACAACAACAACAACAAAAAACAGAACCAGATGGCTTCACTGATTAATTCTACCAACTGTTTAAAGAATAACTAATGCCAATCCTTCTCAATCTTTTCCAAAAATCAGAGGGAAGGAAACACTTCTAAACTAATATCAGACCAGTATTACTCTAATACCAATCCAGGCAGAAACAATACAAGAAAGAAAAGCTGCAGGCCAATGTTGCTGACAAACATTGATGTAAAGCTCCTCAACCATACAATAGCAAACTGAGTTCAGTAACATATTTAAGGGACCATACACTGTGACCAAGTGACATTTATCCCTGGGATGCAAGGATGGTTCAACATACAAAAATCAATTAATGTGATAAACCATACCGATAGAACAAAGAAGAGAAATCACACGATCATCTCAATAGATGCAGAAAAACCATGTGACAAAAGTAAGCATTGTTTTCAGCGTAAAAACTTTCAATAAACTCAGGATAGAAGGAAATTACTTCAACAAAATAAAGAATTATAATGAAAAGTATATGAAAGATCCACAGCTAACATCATACTTAGTGGTGAAAAACTGAAAGCTATTCCTCTAATATTGGGAATAAGAAAAGGATGCCCACTCTCCTCTTCTGTTCAATATAGCAGTAGAAGTCCTAGCCAGAGCAATTAGGTGAGGAAAAGAAATAAAAAGCTTCCAAATTAGAAAAGAAGTAAAATTATCTCTGTTTGCAGATGACATAATTATATAGTATAAAACGCCAAAGATTATACTGAAAACCTTTTAGAACTAATAAATGAATTCAGAAAGTTGCAAATTACAAAATCTACATAAAACATCAGCTGTATTTCTCTATACTAACAATGAACTATCTGAAAAGGAAATTAATAAAATAATCTCATTTGCTATAGCATCCAAAATAACAAGACAATTAAATATAAACCTAACTAAGAAGATAAAAGACTTGTACACTCAAAGCTACAAAACATTGATAAAAGAAATTAAAGAAGACACAAATAAAAGGAATGACATCTTGTGTTCATAGATTGAATGACATGATATTTTAAAAATATCTATACTATCCAAAGTTATTTACAGATTTGATACAATCTCTGTCAAAATCCTAATGGCATTTTTACAGAAACAGAAAAATTAATACTAAAATGGAAGCACAAAGGACCAAGAATAACTAAAAAATCATGAGAAAAAAGAACAAAGCTGGAGGCATAACACTTTCTGATTTCAATATATATTACAAACCTACAGCTATTAAAATAGTATGGTATTGGCATTAGGAAAGACAAATAGACCAATGCAACAAAATAGAGGGCCTAGAAATGAAACCATACATACAGGCAATGGATCTTCAACAATGGTGCCAAAATACACAATTGGCAGAGAATAGTCTGTTATACATATGGTGTTGGGAAAACTGGATATCCACATGCTTAAGAATAAAATTAAACCCTGTATGGGTGCCGTGGCATATGCCTATAATCCCAACAGTTTAGGAGGCTGAGGTGGGCAGATTGCTTGATCCCAGGAGTTAGAGACCAGTCTGGGCTACATAGCAAAACCCCATCTTTACCAAAAATACACAACTTAGTTGGGCATGGTGGTACGGCCTGTAGTTCCAGCTACTCAGGGGGCTGAGGTGGGAGGATCGCTTGAGCTCAGGAGGCAGAGGTTGCAGTGAGCCATGATTGCACCACTGCACACCAGCCTGGGTGACAGAGGGATACTCTGTTCAAAAAGAAACAAAAATAAAAGAAAGAAAGAAAAGAAATTTAACCCTTATCTTAAACCATCCACAAAAATCAACTCAAAATGAATTAAAGACTTAGCTGTAAGACCAGAAACTGTAAAATTTCTAGAAGAAAACCTGGGAAAAGCTTCATGACCCTGGTCTTGGCAATGATTTCTTGGCTATGACACCAAAAGCACAGGCAGCTAAAGCAAAAACAAAAAAGTGAGACTACATCATACTAAAAAAGAGTTCCTGCATATTAAAAAAATAGCAATTAACAGGCTAAAAATTCAACCTACAGAATGGGAGAAAATATTTGTGAACCATATAGGAGATAAGGGATTAATATATAAACTATCAGTTGAAGGAATTCCTTCAATTCAAAAACAGAAAAAAAACCCAAATAACCTGTTTAAAATATTAGAAAGAACATACTTCTCCAAAGAGGGCATACAAATGGCCAACAGGTAGATAAAATTGTCCTCAACTTCAGTAATTATCAAGGAAATGAAAATCAAAACTGCACTATCACCTTACACCTTTTAGGATGACTTTTAAAAAAAATATTGGCAAGAATGTGGGGAAAAAGGGAACCCTTTTGTGCTGTTGGTGGGAATTTAAAATGGTGCAGCCCCTATGAAAAAAAGGAGGAAGATTCCTCAAAATACTAAATATATTTATTTATTACAATAAAATATAAAATGAAAGGATTTATATGAACTCACTTGGAAAGATGTATTTGATATACTGTTCAGTAAGTAAAGCAAGCTACTAAACATAGCATATGATTCAATTTGGGTCTAAAAAGTTGTGTGTGTGTAGATATAATACATATACAAATTATGTAAAATTATATCTTTATCTACGTAGTAAAAAACTTGGAAAAATAAAATGTTAACAGTAATTTTGTCCATGGAGTTAGAAGGAGATGGGGGAATATAAGAGGAGCTTTCTATTTTTACTCTATACCTGTTTATATAATTTGAATTAATTTGAATATTATAAAATAAGCATGCCATATTTTTGTATTTTTATTTTGTTTATTTTTATAATTTTAACTTTTATTTTTGATTCAGGGGATTCATGTGCAAGTTCGTTATGTGGATATACTGTCCGATGCTGAGGCCTCCAGTTATATCCACATTGCTGCAAATACATGATTTTGTTCTTTAGGGCTGTGTCGTATTCCATGGTATGTATGTACCACATTTTCTTTATCAATCCATCGTTGGTGGGTACCTAGGTTGATTCTATGCCTTCGCTATTGTGAACAGTGCTGTGATGAACATACAAATGAGTGCATATGCCTTTTTTGTAGAACTGGTTTTTTTTTGTTTTTTTTTTTCTTTTGGAGATATACCCATTTACGGGATTACTGGTCAAACAGTAGGTTCTGTTTTAAGTTCTTTGATAAATCTCCAAATTGCTTTCCACAGTAGCTGAACTAATGTATTCCCACCAACAGTGTATAAGCATTCCCTCTTCTCCACAGCCTCTTATGATTAAGCAATTCAAAGGAAGTATAGCAATGGGCTCATGACCATAAAATTAACTTGTCTTACTCCATTACCTGGAAGCAACAGGCCTACATGAAAGATTCAATTCCTTCTGAAGACTCAGTTACATAATAAATTGGAGACAACACCCTCAAAGCATGAAATTTTGTCTTACATGATTGATTATATTCTTTTAATTAAATTCTGTTATATAGTGCAATTTCCCCATAGCCGGAATACACGAGTCCAGAAATAATTGGATAGAACCACAAATGGGCAGGTCCTCTCACTGTTTTCCCAAATAACCTACTCACAGAATTTTGGAGTCTTGTTCTGGCAACTAAGACTCTGGTATTTTGGAGGTCTTGGTCTCCAAGAAGGAGATGGCTTCCATCAAGGATAAAATAATGGTTCCATTGAACTAGAAATTGAGACTGTCGCCCGACCATTTTGGGTTCTTCATGCTACTGAACCAACAAGTAAATTAAAGGGTTATTATATTGACTTGAGTAATTGATCCTGTTTAGTAGAGAAAATCGGATTGCTACTCCACAATGGAGACAGAGATAGCTATTTTGAAACACATGGGATTCTCTGGGGCTGCTCACAGCATTTCCTTCCTTTTAGTAAATTTTAGTGGAATATTACAGCCACCAAATAAATGAATGGCTATTAAAGACTGAGACCCCTTGGAAATGAAGGTTTACAACACTCCACAAGGAAAAGAATTCCAACTAGCTGAGGTTTTGTTTGATGGCAAAGGGAGACTTAGAATGTGTAGTGAAAGGAAAAGGTCATAGATGTAAACTTTAGCCTCATGACCAATTACAGAAATGAAGACTAGTGTCTTTACCCATTTTCTATGTGTTGTATTAGTTCTTTTTCACACTGCTGATAAACACATACCCCAGAATGAGCAATTTACAAAAGAAAGAGGTTTAATTGGACTTAGAGTTCCATGTGGCTGGGGAAGCCTCAAAATCATGGCAAAAGGCAAGGAGGAAAAAGTCACGTCTTACATGGATGGCGTCAGGCAAAAAGTGTGAGAGCTTGTACAGGGGAATGCCTCTCTTTAAAACCATCAGATCTCACGAGACTTATTTACTATCACGAGAACAGCATGGGAAAGACTTGCCCCCATGATTCAATTACTCTCATCAAGTTCAACACATGGGAATTCAAGATGAGATTCAGGTGGGGACACAGTCAAACCATATCAGTGTTATACCTGTGTGTTTATTTGTATATGCTAACCATTTTCTTCTCTCTTTTTCTTATTAATCTTTTTTTTTTTGCACAAACACATTTGTTTATTAACCAAGGGATGATCCTAATTAATCCAACACACTTTGAAATAGCTACATGTAAAATGTTTGTGATAAAGATAATTGAACACAGTAATGGGAAAAAAAAAAAAAGAAACAGTATGGAGATTTGCTCATTGAACTGAATTTGGTCATTCTCTTAGTTAATTGCTGTCCAAAGTGATGATGGAATTTTTATTCTACTTTTTCATAGATCCGAGTGCAGGTGACATTGTTCATGACACAGTCCACCACTAGTTTCCCATCTTTCAATTTTCTTGTTATTGTGCTTTCCTTCCCATCCCACTCCTGATGCTGAACCAATGCACCATCTGTAAAGTTGCAGACAGTCTGAGTTTTTCTGCCATCAGCTGCGGTTTCTTCAAACTTCTCTCCCAGGGTACAAGAAAAATGTGTTGTTTTCAAAGTGCTCTCAGTTTTTATGGTGAGGTTTTCGCCATCAGAAGTGATGATACAGTCTGGTTTGGCCATTGCGCCCATTTTTCGCACAGCTATTCCCACTCCTAGCTCCTTCATGTATTCATCAAAGCCTTTGCTCTCCACCAGGCGCCATCTTCCTTCCAGCTGCTGAACTGTGGCCCTGGTGGGCGCGGGCGGGCTGACGTGCAGAGCGGGGTCGGCATCGGCGTGGCAGCGCGCTGTCCTCATTAATCTTTTACATAGAAGTTGTTGAAAGAAAACTTTGCCGTTTAGTCTTTAGGCAAAAGGATATTCAATTGGTCCATGACTGAATTCGAAGAGTAATTAATACAGCTGGCAACAAACACAATGACTTTTGGGATGGTACCTATGTTGTCAGGCAGAGATTTAGAGTTGCTTTATTGCTGTACAGTTATCCAAATGCGCATAGTAAGGTACATGTGGAAGCTGAATAGTCAAAGTGATAGACTGGGCTTCTCAGTTTCAAATTGTCCCTTAATTTCTCTGCTTTATGATACTAGAGCTGAACCCTGTCAACATTCCTTTCTCAGCTGGCAAAATATTAAGTTTTACCAGTAAAATGCACTTTAAATATACTTTAGGAGAAAAGGACTTTTACTGGATGTGATGAGCTACTCCTTTTGCTCCCATGGCACACTTTGCAGTGACATACATGACGGACATGCAGTTACACTCCCAACCAGTAACTTTTGTTGTCAACCTTGCCTGTGATGTCCTTCTCACAAGGTATGCTTCTCCGGTCCGCCAGCTCCCTGGAAGAAAGGTTCCTCTCATTCCTGGTCTCAGCCTGCAATTCCTGCCATGCCAGCCTCAATCAAAGGTTGCTGACAAGCCCTGACCTACACAACCCGGCAAATTTCTTTACCATCCAGTAGGTAGCGGACTCTCCAGAGACACCTGATTCACAGCCTTGAGGAAGATCCTTTCCAAGTTTGTTCCTCCCTTAGGAACTGTACTTCAGTCCTAGGGTATTTTTAGCATTCTCTTTTATCCCCTCTTAACCTTCTGTTATCAGTTGGGGATTCTTTTTAGCAAAAATTCCCTATTAAAATTACTGAGTAGTTCCTCTGTCCTGACTGGATTCTGACTACCACAGTAATATTCCATTGTATGTGTGGCGTGCTACAATTTGCTTATCCATGTACCAGTGAAAGGATATTTCGGTTGCTTTCAATTTGGGGCTATTGTGAATAAAATTACTATCTGCATACAGATGCAAGCTTTTGTGTGGAAACAATCTTTCATTTCTCTTCGTAACACACCAAGAAGTGGGATTGCTGGTTTGTGTGGTAAATGTGTATTTAGTATACATTTTAAATGGCTAGCTGTTTTACAAAGCAGCTGTCGTATTTTTGCATTTTCAGAATTATGTGAAGATTCCAGTTTCTCCACATTAGTATCAGCACCTGTTATTATCGAACCTTAATTTTAGCTATTCTAGTGGGTGTACAGTGATATCTAACGGTGGCTCTAATTTTTCATAGTCCTAATGAGCAAGGGATTGAGGATCTTTTCAAGTGCTTTTTGGCTTCTCCTATATCTTCTTTTATGAAGTGTCTGTTCAACTCTTTTGCCCATGTGTTTTTGTTGATTTGGCCTTCCATTATTGCATTATAAAAATTTTCTGTATATTCAGGTTACAAGTTCATTGTCAGATATATGTTTTGTAATCTGTGACTTGACTTTTTGTATTTTTTATATGTTTAACATAATCTTTCAACAAAAATTTTAATTTTGATGAAGTCCAATTTAACCCAACTTAACATTTTTTTCTTTTATCATTTATGTTTTTATGTCATATTTAAAATATTTTCTTAATAATATCACAAAGATATTCTACTTTATTGTCTTCTAAAAGTTTTACGATTTGGGCTCCTATATTTTTTCAATTCATCATCCATTTTTTATTTCTTTCTTTACTTGACACATGGTCATTGTACATATTTATGCAGTACATAGTGGTGTTTTGATATATACAATGTATAGTGATCAGATGAGGGTAACATTATCCATTTTGAATTCATTTTTGGTCATAAGGTGAGTAAAATTTCAGGGCTAGTTTTTTTTTTCCAGCTGAATATTCAGTTATCCCAGTACTATTTATTGGAATACATATCCTTTCTTTTTTGAATTACCATGGCACCTTCGTTAAAAATCAGTTGACAATATGAATGTATATATTTTGTGGGAAGCTATCCTATTCCATTAAAATACATGTGTGTTTTTACTTATTGCATTAGCATTGATTATTGTAGCTGTAGAGTAAGTCTTAAAATCAAATGGTATATAAATTTTATAATCAGTTTTTCTACTTCTGTAAAAAGCCTGTTGGGTATTTGACCAGGATGCATTGAATCTACAGATCAATTTCACAAGATCTGCCATCTCAACAATATTAAGTCTTTCAACATTTTTATTTTGATATTACTTGATTTTCCTAAGCATTTTTTGCATTTTTTAGTCACCAGATTTTGCACATCTGTTATTAAATATACTATGTCTTCTACTTTTATATGCTATTATGAACAGTGCTCTGTTTTTAATTTCATTTTCTGTTGCTAATATGTAGAAATAGTTGATTTTTATTTATACTGTATTGTGACATTAAATTATTAGTTTTATATATTATATCATATAATTTCTACTTAGGCAATTATGCAATATATGAACAAAGATAGTTTTACTTCTTTCTTTCCAATCTACATTTGTTTCTCTTCCTTGCCTTATAGTACTAACTAAGACTTTGAGTACAGTAATGAGTAAAAGTAATGAGAGTATTTCTGACTTCAGGTAGAAATCATTTGCTCTTTCACTATTAAGTATGGTCTTGGCTGTGTATTTTTTTAATAGGTGAACTTCTTCAGATTGAGGAAGTTTTCTTAGTTTGCTAAGAATTTTTATTAAAAATATATGTTGAATTTTGTCAAATACTCTTTAATACATCTACTAAGCTATTAATATAGTCTCTTGCCTTTATTCTATTAGTATATTATGTTAATTGATTTGATTTTCAGATATTAAATGTTCTGGCATTTCTGGGATAAGCCTCACTTCATCATGGTCCATTATACTTTAAATAGCACTGGATTTAATTAGCTGGTACTTTGTAAAAGATTTTTGTGATTATGTCCAATGTAAATATTGGTCTGTAGTTTTTCTTTCCTGTGATGTCTCTGTCTAGCTTTGGCATAAAGATAGTACTAGACTTCAAACCTGATATGTGAATTGAGTAATTGAAAATCATCTATCAATCCAGTTCAAATATAAAATCCAGCTTAATTAGTTAAGTGCTGAGATCATGAGATACATTTCAAATTCGACTATTAGCAACCTTACTGATAACAAAGAGGCCATATGCTTTGTGTGACTATTTGGATTTTTGCATTAGTCATGGATATATTAATACATACGAGGTTCTTATGAGTTCAGAGACATAAAGGGAGCAAACGTAAATCTATATTTAAATTGAGTACAGAACAAAAACTTGCTTTGAGAGCCTCAGAGAGGGCTGCATCTTAAGCAGTGCCATAATGGCCATATGATCCTAACACAGAATGACTTTGTAAGGAAAGTATCCCTGTACGTGCAGACTAGAGTCTTTGGCAAAAGGTTCATGCTGACTCCCAGTGCCCCCCAGCCCTCAGCATTGACTAGTGTGATTCTGCAATCAAATGCTCTACAACTGAGCTGTACCTTTTCATCTAGTGTGATTTTGGATTCATAAGTCTACTGAAGTTAGATACAGTTCCTTCAGGGGTAAATGACTAGTCTGTTAGTGTACTTTGGTGGAGCCAGCTTTCACCACTAAAAGCAATAAAATAATTCTAATACCCCAAATGCCTGTTTTATAATGGGTAATGCCAATGACACATTCCAGTAAGAGTAGATCACTGACAAAAGGAGAATGGTCATCTCTAGAGGAATATATTGTATCTATGAGGGGTTTGCAGCCTTGTCTTTGGGAATGTCAATAGAACCTCTAAAACGGCAGTCAATACCAATTTCTGAAAGGTGTAAATTCTGATTCTCTCTCTGCTAAGGCAAAGCAAGCTGACTTAATTACTAATGCAAGTCTCTAAACTGAGGAACATGATGCCATTTAGAAGTCTACAACCTTTTCCCCGTAGATCATAAAACTAAAACTGGTAGAAAACAGAAATGCAAAAAGAGAATAGATTCCTCCAAAATTTTATGAGGTTTCCACAACCTAGTTATAAGAGAGAAAATTTACAGGAAAGTCTCATTTATGAACGTATACATGAAAATACTTAAAAATCAGCAGACTGAATCTTGCATTATACAAAAACTAAAATAAGACCAACATGGTTTCTTCCAAGGCTGCTTTGGTGTTTGAAAATGTATTACTATATTTTGCCCCATTAATAAATTAAAAGAAAATATGCAAAAAAGTATTGGACACATTTAGTAACCTTTATATGATAAAATTATTAATAACTTCTAATAGAAAATAAATTATTTAATAAAATTAAGTACCAAAGACTTATAGAAAATGTCACCTGGGTAGTAAAACTTTGAATTTTTCCTTTTGAGATCAGGTATGACACAAGGACGCCTGCTTTTATCACTTCAGTGTTATACTAAGTATTCTAGTCAATTCAATAAGACAAAAAGAAAAGAAAAATAAGTAAAATGTGTAGGAATCAGAAATGAGGAAAGAAAAATGTAATTTTTGGCAGATGATAAGGCAAGGAATGAGGTTACAATTTAAAAATACACACAGTTTTAGAGGGCACCAAATGTTCCATGTCTTGATATTTAAGATTATTACATAAGTTTTCACTCCCTAATAATTCATCATGCTATGTTTTTCTTTATATAATTTTTGTATGAATTATATTTATAGTTTTTTTTTTATATTAAATAGAAATTAAATATTATTTATTGAGAGTGGCTTGGAGATGGCACTGCTATAACCCCTTCTGGATGACTTGAACCTAGGGCTCATTTAAGAATGGGTCTGTCAGCTGGCGCGGTGGCTCATGCCTGTAATCCCAGCACTTTGGGAGGCCGAGGCGGGCAGATTACCTGAGCTCAGGAGTTCGAGACCAGCCTGGCCAACATGGTGAAACCCCGTCTCTACTAAAGATACAAAAATTAGCTGGGTATGGTGGCATATGCCTGTAATCCCAGCTACTCGGGAGGCTGAGGCAGGAGAATTTCTTGAGCCCTAGAGACGGAGGTTGCAG